GGCAAGCCGCGCTCCCCGCCCCAGCCTGGCCCCGAGTGACACCTGGATCCAGGGCACGGGGGGAGGGGCAGCCAGAGAACAGTCCCCAGGGGCTGGGGGCGGCCCCCACCGCCAGGGGAGGCTTGGGGTCCCGGGCTCCGAGCCCCCGGCCGACCCTCGCGGAGGAACGCGCGCCGCAGCCAGAACGCCCCGCGTGCACGCCCCTCCCCGCTCCCCGAGCGCGCGGGTCCATTTAGAGCCCCAGCCCGGGGCCCCGGTGCATTCTGGGACTTGTAGTTCTCCCGCGCGGCCCCGGGCGCCGGCGCGACCGAGGGCCGGGACTACGTTTCCCAGGGAGCTCCCCGGCCTATATAAGGCGGCAGGAGGCGCTCCGAAGTGCAGTAACCATGTGGATGTGCTGCTGAGGCGTCTCCTCAGGCTCGCCGGGGTGGGAGGAGAGGAGGAGGAGGAGGAGGAGGAGGTGGAGGAGGAGGAGGCAGGGGAGGAGAGAGAGAGAAGGCGCACGCCGCGAGGAGGTGTGCGCGTTCCGCTTCCCTCCTGACGGGACGAGCTCCGTCTTCGCGGGATGGGGTCGCCCGGCGGCTGCTAGCCGCTCTCCTCGCCCCGCTCCCCAAACCGGCGGCTCCCGGCACCCAGGTAGCGGCGGGGGCCGGGCCGAGGGCGCGGAGTTGGCACCGGCTCCCCGGGCGGAGAAGTTTCTGCCCCGCTCTCTGGGAGTTCTTGGTGGAGATGCATGCACTTGGCATGCACTGGGGTATTTTTTTTTTTTTTGCAGGCAGGTTTTTTTTTTGGGGGGGGTGGTGGTGGTGGGGTGGGGAGGTGCCCATTTGAGGCTTAAAAAAAAGAAAAAAATCCAAGTAGTCTCTCCTCTAGTGCCTAGCTTTGAGGGGTCCCCATCCTGGACTGGAATGGCATTCCCCCAAGTTGGAAACTGTTGCTGCAGCTGCAGGAAATAGTTTTTTTTTTTTTTTTTTGGGAGGGAGGTTGTGGGGGTGTCATATGCATCTGCTCAAGGAAACAGCCTTTCTAAAAATGTAGCCCTCTCCCGCGCGCGCTGGAAGGTTGCAAGAATAATGTTGCATGTGTGTGGGGGGCCCCCGTGGGGAGAGTTTAAAAAAAAACGGATGAAAACCGGGGGAGCGGTGAGGGATGCAGTGTGGACGAAGCTCCTGCCCAGTGGGGATGCGGGCTTGGAATACTTGGCCTCCGCGCTGGGAAACAAGTGTTTTGGGATCTGCCAGGCACTTCCCCTTAGTTCCAGCCTCCTGCACCCACCACCAGCACGTTGGAAGTTTGTGCGTGCCGTGGTCGCGCTGTCCGTTACAGGCTGGAAATAAGTCAGTCAGCGTGGTTTCCTGTTCTGTTCGCCCAAGGGATCCCACCCACCTGCCTGCCAGGTTTGGAGGCGGGTCTCACCAGGGAAGCAGGCTTCAGAAGGTGCAAACCTGGAATCTGGAGCCTTTCTGTTAGAGACCCACCTTCTGGTGCTTTCCTACTCAGTCCTCTTTCTTTCTAAATATTTAGGAGCCGACTCCAGAGGAGCAAGGATTTGCACCCCTGGCTGGGCCTGTTTTGGCAACAGAGTGCCTGACCCGGGTCAGGTGAGTGCTATAGTCAATAATAAGTTTTTGTCCTAAGCTTGTTTTAAGTCCTCTCTAAACTCAGTCATGGAAGTGGGGAGTAGGGAAAAAAAAACCAAAAGCAAAAACAAACTCCATGGCTCCGTCTTGGAGGTTTGTCACTGCCTTTGGTGAGGGCTTTCGGGAGTGGAGATCCAGCTGATGGGCCTGCCCTAGAGCCTTCGGACATGGCTCAGAACTGAAGCAGCCTGAAGTTTATGAGAGAGAGGAAAGGAAAAGCCATTAAATAGAGCGATAAAGGGGTGGCCCATTGCTGGCCTAAGAGGAGTGCTGTTGATTTAAATGCTGAAGGATGCAGTGTGTTGCATCTGCCAACATATGTAAGCAAAAATTAACTGCCTCTCTCTTTTTAACATAGTCACTTTCTTTTTTCTTGCTGTGAATGTGTACTTAATCAGAGTAGGTTGGATTGCAAGAAATGAAAGTGGTTGCTGCAAATAGAAAGAATTTGAACTTTAAAAAGGGAAGTTCTTAAAGCGTAGGTACCAGCATGCAGCCCTTAACTCAACCCACCTGAATGGCAAAGAGTCTGAGGGGTCCGTGTTGTTTTGTCGCCTGCCATGGAATACGAGCCCAGGGCAGCATTTATCTGTAAACACAACAGTTCCTGTTTTTTCCCCAAAATGGTCAGACTGCACTTGAAGAGAGGGAGGTTTCAACGGGTGCTCGCACATCCCTGTTGCTGCAGATTTGGCCACCAAAAGTCTTTTTTTTTTTGAAATGGTCACGAACAGGGTAAACATCGGGATAATGGGAGTGGGGTAGCGGTGGGTGGCTGGGTCTTAGTAACTTTTTTATAAATATTTAGCTGTTCCCTGGGCTACAATCTTTGGGGTTTTTCTAATTTAGAAAATAAAAGTCAGACACTTCATTATAGTAGTATAGTGCTTTTGTTTCCTGTTGATAAGATCCTCAGGAGTACTGGCGAGGGGGAAGCATTTGGATGTGTGAGGTCTAGTTTCTTCTTGCAGTTCTTTTATTGACTCACGGGGCTGCGTGTGTATTCAGAGGGCCAAGGACTGGGTCCAGTTCCCGTCTTCAGAGTAAGCTGTAGATAAGGGGAAACTGATCCCACACACTCTTCTCGAACTGGTTGCTAAAAATATTAAGATTGACACATCAAATACTTGTATGCTGGGCCCAGAGCCATTTATCTCAGAACCCTGTGAGTCAGGTACAGGTGAAGAAAGCTTAGCTGCAGAGAGAGGAATCATTTGTGCAGTAGCTAAGTATGAGGAAGCAAGGTAGAATTCCAGGCGGTGGGCTGTATTGCATCCCACACGTGTACCTACGTGGGTGGTGAGGGCAGTCGGTGAGAGGGAAGCTAGGAAAAATGGTAAACTTAACTGCTATTGATGAAATACCTTGCTCATGTCTCACCAGCGATGAAATAACAATACTTAACCTTGATGTAAGGAGGAAGGGATGTAGCCACAGATATAGGGATAAAAGCGTGGATATCTGTGGAGGTGTTAGATATTGTAATGAGTTCGTTGTGGAAAGCTGTGTGTTGCAAGCCCAAAGTGAGGAAAGTAGAAAGAAACCAAAGCAAACCGCAGGGAACGTTGTCTCGGTTGAGCATTAGGCTCGTGGCATGAACTGAAATCCGTCTTGATCATCTACATCAAAGCATCTGAGCAGGTTGAAAGGATCAGGTGTTTCTCCATCTGAGTAATTCGAAAGTTTAAACTGTAGTCTGAACTGTGAAATGTTGATACCTTTTCATACACCCTCCAGTTTGTTTTGTGACCAGTTGTGCAGAACATTTTTCTTTTTCGTTTCTTTCTAGTACATTTGCGTGTCTGTGTGTTGAGTGCAATCTGCTCGTTGAATAATTCAAATCAGAACAGAAAGACTTCACCCTAATCAGGCAGGGAAAGTTCTTCATGTTCTAAATGAATTACTCTGGCTTCCACATTGAAACCCATGAAAATCACTTGGGGTTGACAATACTATTATCAATTTAAACAAAGTGGTGGTTTTTTTGGGAAGGAATTGGCATTTTTTCTTTAGGAATGAGAAATTGAATGGTTGCTTAGAAGAGAAAAAATAGGTGCACTCCACAAGAAAAGTTTCTCTTTCTCCTCAAGTTATTTTCAACTGAGGAAGACCAGGGCATGAGAGAGAAAGAAAGATTGAGGGAAAAAAAGAGAAAAGAAAGCTCTAGTCCAGTGGTATATAACCAACTGACTTGCAGAGGAAAAAAATTGCATTGCTTTTCAACTCATTTATAATCTCATGGAAACTGTTCCCCCCCCCCCCACAAGCAACTCTTGGAAGAAAGAATAAAAAAAAATGAAATAAAACACCAAATATGAACAACAGAAAAAACAACCAAAATAAAAGTAGGCCTGGAGTTAAGTTTCTAGGTCAAGTTGTCTTTGGGTACATCTAATTAGGGAGTCTACACAAGGCCAGTGTCTCATCTTGTTTGCTGTTGGTTTGATTTTTTAAAATAAAACACATTGCATTTGCAGGCTTTCTGTTAACTAGAAGTACATGCAGTTTTTTTTCATTGTTGCTGTTTTAAGTTTTAGCATGGCTCATTTGAGGAATGCAGTTAAGGCTTGAAATCAGTGACATGAATATGACATAACTTCTGTGATTCCTTTCATTTGTCTTAGTGTCTGTGCTTCTGAGATGATTGCTAAGGAGGATGAGTTGAGGAGACCATCACCTCCTGACCTTTGAGAGTCCCTAAATTGGACATAGTTTAACACACTTGGTACGATAAATGTATTTAACAGATTCTAATGCCTGTTAAGGATGCGATTCAAGTGCTTTCTTCTTTATTCAACAAATTCCTTGAGCACCTACTATGTGCCAATTTATATTCTAGGGCTTGGAATACAGCAATGAACAGACAGTCCTGTCCCCAAGAAGCTTAAATCCTAGTTGGGGGAAGGCAGCCAATGTAAATAAGCAAGTCAGTATTATCGTATTAGCGGTAGTAAGTGCTATGGAGAGAAATAAGGGGACAGAAAATAGCATGTCCTGACAAGGATGTGGAGAAAGTGGAGGCTTGTGCATGCCGGTGGGAATGTGGAATGGTGCAGTGGGGGAGGGGGGTCCCTCAAAAAAAGAGAAACAGAATTACCGTATGATTGGGGGATTCCACCTGCAGTATATGTGCAAAAGAATTGAAAGCAGGGATTTGAGCAGATATCTGTACACCATGTTGATAGAAGCATTATCATAGTAGCCAAGCGGTGAAAACAACCTTTGTCTTATCAATGAATGAACAGATAAACAAAATGTGGGATGTGCATATAATGGAATATTATGTAATATTATGTATAAAATAATTCACCTTACAAAGGAAGATGAATCTGACACATGGTACAAAATGCACGAAAACATTATGCCAAGTGACATACACCAGCTGTGCACAGAAGGACGCATACTGTATGATTTCGCTTCTATGAGGTCCCTAGAGTAGCGAAATTCATAGAGTCAGAAAGTAGAATGGTGCATGCTGGGTGAAAGGGAAATGGGAGTTTGTTTAATGGATACAGAATTTCAGCTTAGAAGGATGAAAAAGTTCTGGAAAGGCACAGTGATGGCGGTCACACAACAATGTCAGTGTACCTAATGCCACTGAATTGTAACCCTTAAAAATGGTGAATTTTGGCCAGATGCGGTGACTCACACCTGTAATTCTATCACTCTGGGAGGCCAAGGTGGGAGGATCGCTCGAGGTCAGGAGTTCGAAACCAGCCTGAGCAAGAGCGAGACCCTGTCTCTACTAAAAATAGAAATTAATTGGCCAACTAAAAATATATAGAGAAAAAATGAGCCGGGCATGGTAGCGCATGCCTGTAGTCCCAGCTACCTGGGAGGCTGAGGCAGGAAGATCGCTTGAACCCAGGAGTTGGAGGTTGCTGTGAGCTAGCCCAGGCAACAGAGCGACACAAAAAAAACAAACAAAAAAATGGTGAATTTTATGTTATTTTACCCCAGTAAAAAAACAATGACAAAATAAGATAAGGGGTGTTAAGGAGCCTCAGGTGGGGATTAGATCTTTAATATGGTGGCCTTTGAGCACATGTCTAAAGGAGGTGAGCAAGTTTGCCCTCCTGGGGGAGAGGTGTTTCAAATATCCAGAGCAGTGAGTACAAGACCCTGACATGGGAGCAGGTGTGACAGGTTGCAGGAAGGGGGAGGGGCCAGGGTGGCCACGGCTGAAGGAGAGGCGGTCAGGGACCTGTAGCGTCCTTGGGGCTGGATTTTGCAGGTCAGCAGTGATTCACCTAGGGACTTGTGCTCTTTTCTTTCTTTCTTTCTCTATTTATTTTATAGGCAGAGTCTCGCCTTGTTCCCCAGGCTAGAGTGAGTGCCGTGACGTCAGCCTCGCTCACAGCAACCTCAGACTCCTGGGCTCAAACGATCCTCCTGCCTTAGCCTCCCGAGTAGCTGGGACTACAGGCATGCGCCACCATGCCCGGGTCATTTTTTCTATATATATTAGTTGGCCAATTAATTTGTTTCTGTTTTTAGTAGAGACGGGGTCTCGCTCTTGCTCAGGCTGGTTTCAAACTCCTGACCTGGAGCGATCCTCCCGCCTCGGCCTCCCGGAGTGCTAGGATGACAGGCGTGAGCCACCGCACCCGGCCCGCATTGTGGTTTTCAACAACACTGAACTACGTTGTCCTTTCTGAAGAGTCTCTGGTGAGGCTGGCAAGATCGCAGAGCAGATGGGAACTTGAGAGGGGGTAAAACCCAGATTTCTAGACTGTCTGGCTAGTCACGTGACTCACCTGGGCTGCACTTCAGTAGGAAAGCAATCTTCTCTGATAAGTAGGTGAAGCTACACTTGGCTCGACAGCAAATTCAAAGAGCCTAATGATATCTCCTTTTGGCTCGCCTTCTTGCCCTTGCTGCCGCCTGCAGTGGTGTTCCGGTGCTTGTGAGGGATATTATTACCCAGACTTCGATGTTTCTGCTCTCCAGCATCCTTGGAC